AGATATCCCCGGCTTATCTGACATGTCTCAGTGTCGGAAAACCCGGACTGAGCAACCGGCCGGAGTCCGAGTCCTCCTCTTTGGAATTCCTGAAACGGTTCACCAATCTGGTCTGGATTAAATAACGACGACCTGAACTAAGAAATGGAGAACCAACAATGGGAACCGGACTGGAGGAACATACGGCGCTTCCAACATAGTAATGTCCAACCTGTTTTAGAACCTGGCCCAGTCAGTCTCTCATTCCAGCGCCGGTAACTGATACAGGCTGGCAGGTGCCATAACAACACCCCCCCCCCCCTACAACAGGCTTACTTGACATGTCTGATGCTGCCTCACCAGTTCATATAGTTGAGCTATTTGCTAAAAATCTCAGCCAATCAGGGGACGCACGACGCTGAGATTGTGTTGATGGCGTCTTCTTACCCAGATCTACAGGATGTGATCTTTGCGTGTGGGTGTTGTGAAGTCGGGATCTGAGCCGTGCTATTTTCTCAGGTGTTGAACACATTGCAGCCTATGTAGAAAAAGCAAACTTTTCAGAAGTAAGCTCGTCACCTCCTCCACCTCCTGATGCCTTCTCTCTCTCTCAGATGCGTAGGAGTCGTCCTCCTGTTGCGTGCTAGCATGTTAGCGCTAATGAGAGCAGCTGTCCAAACGCTCAGCCGGTCGGCCAAAAGGCACCGCAGCCTTTGTTGGTGCAAGGTGTAGGAACACACACTTGGGTTTGAACAACACTGACCATTTGGCACAGGAAGACCGCCTCCACCCCCCCCTCAGTCCCTTTGCTGCACTTGGAGGCTCCCAGCCTAACCGTCATGCTTGCTGCAGGGAATTGATTTTTCTTTCTAAAGCTTTATAGTTGATCATTTTCCCTCGCTGCTGCTGCTGCTGCTGGCGGGGAGGGTTGCCTTTGTAATCGCTGACCTCAGCTCCACACCTGAGTGGCTCTGAACCCCCAAACAGCCTCTCCGACTCATCCTAAAGTACCTTCTGTTTAAAGCCGAGCAGACAATATATCAGCTGGTGGAGTTGCTCCTGGAGATAAGATGGGGGGGACCGGGAAGGGAGGAGTGCAAAAACAATCTAGAAATAAGTCAAAATGTCTTTAATAAAGGGCATTTACCCTTAATTTGAGCAGAAAATAAGAGGATTTGCCAATGGAATGAGGATTTTTACTCTCAGAATAAGGAAATTAGATGATATACACTTGAAATAAGACAAGGAAACAGGGTTTTTCTTATTTTAAATGTAAATTGTCTTGTTCCAATGGTAAATAGTTTCACTTACCTCCTCAATTCAACAAAAATCGCACTTGTTTTAGGAAAAAATGACTTATCTAGATGAAGATTTTTTCCAGTGAGGAGTGTGGCCAAGTGTCATGTGAGGCTGCTTTGTTCACTGCAAAAAAATGAAATCTAAATAAGTCATTTCTTCTTAAAATAAGTGCATTTTTTCTTGAATTAAGGATTTAAATTAGACACTTTGCCAATGGAACAAGACAATTTACACTTAAAATAAGAAAAAAAACAATTGCATTGTCTTATTTCAAGTGCATTTTATCTAGATACCTTATTTTAAGAGTAAAAATACTCATTCCATTGGCAAATCATCTTATTTACCTGCTCAAATTAAGGGTAAATACCCTTAATTTAGGACATTTTTACTCATTTTGAGATCATTTATGCAGTGTTCACTGCAAAAAATCTAAATCTAGATAAGTCATTTTTTCTTAAAATAAGTGCATTTGTTCTTGGATTGAGGAGCTAAAAGAGACATTTTGCCAATGAAACAAGACAATTTACACTTAAAATAAGAAAACACAATTGCATTGTCTTATTTCAAGTGCATTTTATCTAATTATCTTATTTTAAGAATAAATTTACTCATTCCATTGGCAAACTATCTCATTTACCTGCTCAAATTAAGGGTGAATACACTTAATTTAAGAAATTTTAAGTTATTTCTACGCTGCAGAAATTATCTAGAAATAAGTAAAAATGTCTTAATTTCTAAATACAATGATTTGCCAATTAAATTAGTATCTTCACTGGAAAAACGATCTAAAAATAAGTAAAAATTTTCTTAAATTAAGTGTATTTACCCTTAATTTGAGTAGGTAAATGAAATTATTTGCCAATGGAATGAGCATTTTTACTCTTAGAATAAGATATTTAGATAAAATGCACTTAAAATGAGACAATATAATTGAGTTTTCTTATTTTAAATGTAAATGGTCTTGTTCCATTGGCAAAATGTCTCTTTAACCTTCTCAATTTAAGAACAAATGCACTTATTTTAAGAAGAAATGACTTATATAGATTTTGATTTTTTCCAGTGTTTACTCTTAAAATAAGATAATTCGATAATATGAACTTGAAATAAGACAATGCAATTGTTTTTCTTATTTTAAATGTAAAGTGTCTCACTTTCGAACTGAATTGGAGAAAAAATGCACATATTTTAAGTAAAAATTGCTTCATTAGATTTCCATTTTTTGCAGTGTGGATCGTTTTTGCAGCGTTTACCTAATAAATCCTACAGAAAATGAGTCTGAATAGTGTGGTTAAAAGATTTCGGGCTAAGTATTCATACCCTTTAACCATTTTCTTCCTAATTTTGGAACAGAATTTCAACAGAATTTTTGTATTTCGGCTCAAATTCAAGCAATATTTGTGATATGAAAGGGTGAGGTTGCAGGGTTTATGATACTGGGCTGCATGGCGGTACAATTTGTGGCAGAAAGAAGGTCCTGGGTTAGAATCCTAAGGCTCTGATGACATGAACAACAGTCTCCCAGTGTATCTCTGGGATCATATTGGCTATTCTGGCTTCCCCCATAATCGTAACTGTTGTGAGGATACGGTCCCTCCGATAGACTGGCTTCCTTTTTGCTCAAAGACAGCTGAGAATTGGCACCAGTAGCTCCCATAACCCTGAAGGACAGGGCCAATAGAGGATGGATGGCTGGTTTATGAAATGGTTTAAAAATACAAATCCAACAAGTGTGATGTCCGTCTCTTATTAGCCCTCTGAGTCAGTACCTTGTGATGTCGCCGGTGTCAAAACTTTGAAAAGAAACCTTTTGCAGCAGCTTTGAAGGTTTCCTCTTTCAGCTTTGTACATTCAATTTGCTTGGATCATCTTAAAATGCATTTTTTGCCATTTTTTTTGCAATCACAGAACATGTTTTGCAAATTAAGACAAAGAAATGCCACTTAGAGATTTAACTTTGAAAAAAACTTAATCATAAATGGTTTTCTGAGTAACTACTGTTCTTTTAAGATGTCTTTTTTTTTTAGATTTTACATTTTCAGATGTTATTTTTTAAAATTTCTCTTTTTTCAGATAGTTTTACGAATAGATTTTTTTTCAAAAGCATTTTGCGACATCACATCCTCTTCAGTTTTGTGAAAAACGAAGACAGATTTCTATATTACGTGGACGAAAGTGAAGCGCATGTTTGAGATAATACTGTTCATAAAACTCCAGCAGAAAATTAAACATTTAAAAAAAATTACATTTGAAAACACAGTGTATATAACATTAAAGAATATAAAACAATAAAAAAAACAAAAACTGAAAAAATTAATTGTTAAAAAAAATGTAATCTAAGAAAAAAAGCAGAATATTTTCTTGACCTTTTTCCATTTTCATCAATTACATTTAGAATCCATGTTTTTCACGTTTCCATTAAGCAAACTGATGTTTTTTCCCCCAAGTTTCGATTTACAAACCATGTTTTTTGCTTGCAACAATATTGGAACAAAAGTAACCCCATACAAAACAGCTCAGGTGTAAAACAGATGGAATGGAGAACATCTATCTGTGGCATTTTATCTGGAATTCAAAACGATGCATATTTAGTTGCCCTCCTTCAGTTAAGTGCAGATTTACAGTTTGTGGTGCAAAAACATTGTGAGCTAGGAATCACACCTAAAATGATCGCCTGGAAGTAAAAGCTGAGGATGAAACTCCTGATGAACCCTGATAGGATTTCATGACCATCAAGAATGGCTCAACAAATAACGGAGCATCTCCCTCCATCGCCGCCGCCCCCCTCCTCAGGCTGAACCACGCAGGTCCAACAGAGGCGGCTGTAACGACCCGGTCGGCGCTTAAAGAGAGGGAGAAACCTCTCCCAAACTGTTCTCATTGATTGAAACGTAGGCTTACAATTCTCCCTGATACGCCACCTCCTTCAGCCTCTTCAGAAAGAGGTGGGCGACGAGGGTAGGGGAGCGTGGAGATAGGTAGAGAATAAATAAAAAAAATACTACGCTCAGGTGCTTTGTACTGGCATTCAGTGAGTGAATGCAGGTGGTGTGTGGATGTGAGAGGTAGTTGGAGCGCTGGCAGCCCGGGCCCTCTGCTGACTGAGCGGCTCTCACTGGAGAATTGATTTGGCCTCTGAGAGGATCTGTAGCTCTCTCAGCGGAGCAGGGGGAGGCGGGCGGGAGGGAGAGGAGGGGGAGGCGGGGGAGGCAATGAAAGCCCAGGTGGAATTGAGAGACGGAGGGAAATGAAAAGAAGACGCGGGAACAACAAACGCACACGTAGCTGAAAAAAAAAAAAGTGTGTGTGAGGAAAACGTCCTCCCTGTAATAACCCCCGTCTCTCCAGCCCATAACATGCGCGACCACATCACACCGCCTCCCACGCAGCGCTGAAACCAGTGAGTCTGCACCACTGGGTGAGACGTCTCTCTAAAGGCCCAGTTCACCAGGTTGTTGGCGTCTTAGCTAGTTTATTCCGCCCTTTTGTTCCCCCCATGGAGGTCACTTCAAGTTTCATCTCATCTGCTGCAGTTGTTTAATCACTGCCCCCTCTGCAGTCCCTTTTTTAATCGTTCTGACATTAAAACAGCAGGCTACATGTATTTAACCTGGACAGACTTTAACCTTTCACTCCCAGCACTCATAATTACAGAAAACACACACAGGTGTTTATAAAGCAGAGCGTCTGGTTAATCAGAAATCTCCTTGTTTCTTGTCACGCAGTGACCAACTACAACAATGTGCTGGAGGCGGGCTCGGAGTCGGACGATGAGGACAAGCTGCACATCGTGGAGGAAGAAGGCAGCCTGGCAGACGGGGCAGACTGCGACAGCACCCTGCCAGATGACGAGCACCCGGGCGTGCCCAGCTGGGACCCAGGTGAGACCTCACTGCAGCCTGAGAGGCCAACAGGGCCGTTAGTGCTCCTAACTTTATAAATCTTTCCAGGTGGGAACCACACATTTGCATGTATTTCCTGTGTTTGGCCAACATAGAGAGGTGGAACTGACTCAGGACTTCCTTTCTTTACCAGTTTTACATTTAAAATCCTGGTTTAGGACTTTGACTAGGCCATTTGGATGCATAAAATGCTTTCTTAACTATTCCATTGTAGCTCTAATTGTATGTTTGGGGTAGCAATGCCGCTGGAAGGTAGCCTGGGTGCCATTCCGAACTTAGTCCCGCCCACAACGTTTGAGGTCGGGAAGTTCGGTCTGGCATTGCTCAACAGTAGCGCGAGTATGCTAGCACAATATCTGGCGGACCAATCAAATTGTCAGGGCGGGCTTTATACGATGATGGACAGATGATCATCAGTAACGTAATCAACCATGTGACCAAAGCGCGCTTGGTTGACAAAAACAATGGCTGCCGCTGGAGAGTTGAGGTGTGTAGATTCTGCTATTAGGTCTGTTCTAGAAGATATCGACAGCAAATTAATTTTAAAAGAGGAACAGAGAAACGCGATCAAGGCTCATCTTCTTATTCTAGGCGTGCAACTGCACGCTTTGATTTTTGTTGACAACAACTATGCGTCGCTTAACATACGTCACGCACTCCGTTGCTCTTATTGGTTGTAGGTCTATCCAATTGAGTGCAGAGGCATTTTTTTTCCTGGTTCGTTCGAAACACGCCCCATAATCACAGCTCTATGGAGCAGCATCAGACTCAGATTCTGACTAGAATTGAGTAGGACTACGTCAGGCTAGCTGGAAGGTAAAACTCCACCAAATTTCCAAAATGCTGAACTATAGTTGTCTTCTTAGTTTTTTTTGTTCCATTAGTTGTGGATCTCTTCCGCTCTTTGAGGATACCCATAGGTGAATAGTTCCTTCCATTATTAACTCTGTAATGCCAAATGTATCATATTTGATACATACGGTTTCTGAAATGTTTTGCGTCTGACACCTTTTGCATAATTTAATGGTAAAAACTTTGCTCAAAATCCTATTGTACACAATCAGATATACCTGATAACAGCCAGTAGAAGACTACACAAAAAATAATCTTGACTTATCGCATAGCAATAAATTATTAATATCAAAAATGAATTTCTGTTTTTTTTTTCTTTTTACATATTTTGTTAAAAGGCCAAATAAGGACTTCAAACCAAAAAAAGTAATTTTCTGTTTTGTTTTATTCTTGGATCGGGCTTTAAAGGGTTAAATCCTGCCCTTTCCTGGCATGTTAGTGTGGGTGAACATTGGGGCTTAGATAGGTGTCACTACCAAGCCTCTGAGGCCTTAACAGAAGAACTAGATGGCAGAGAATCATTTTTATACATATAGGGTGACATGTGAAGGCTACGACAGAGTATTAGGGAAGTACTAAGAGAAATAAGTATAAATAGGTATATAAATATGTATATATATATCAAACCATGAAAACAGTCACAATAGTATGAGAATAAAGTTCTAATGCTAGTGTTAAAGTAGTAGGTCAAATTGATAAAATCATAACATTGCATTAATCAATAATTAAAGAATAAAGTAAAATTATTATGAGAACAAAGTCGCAAGATTATGAGAATGAATTTTAGCATGAATAATGTAACAATACAAGAATTAAAGGTATACTGTAGTGGAGGACATTGTTTTTCCAGATTGATCATATAAATATAAAAATGGTCCTCCTAATTTTTAACTATTCTGGTGATATGTTTACGTGCTCGTCCCCATTTTCACTTACCGATGGAGGAGAGTCTGACAGAGTGGAAAAATTGCAAATCTTCTTTGGAAAGTAAGCTTGTATAAGAGATTTAAATGGCAATTTTTAAACAGAGCGTGCACGAGGAGAAACGGGCTCGTGCACGCTCTCACATGCGTTTAATAGGCCTTCCTGCTCGGGAGCAGGTACATGTTTGTGCATGTACATTATTTTTTTTTAAAGTGGAGAGGGCGGGCCTTTTGAAAAATTCACGAAAATCCTCCGCCACACCTTTAAGATGCAAATTATGCGAATAAACTCAGAACATGAGAATACATTTGCATCAGTGAGAGAACAGTCATTATTATTATTATTATCATTATGAAATGAAGTTGCAACATCACAAGAATTATTTTGCTCCATTAATGTAGCCAGGACACAACAAAAATAAAGTAACGGTAAATGAAGTTGCAATATTAGGAGAATAAAGCTGAATCAATATGAGAATAATGTCATAAGCAGAAGACTCCTCCTACCCAGATGCACCACAGGAAATCATTCCTACACTGCAAAAAATAGAAATCTCAATAAGTTATTTTTTCTTAAAATAAGTGCGTTTTTCCTTGATTTGAGGAGGTAAGTAAGACACTTTGCCAATGGAACAAGACAATTTCCTTTTAAAATAAGAAAAAACTATTTTATCGTCTTATTTCAAGTAAATATTATCTAACTATCTTATTTTAAGAGTGAAAATACTCATTCCATTGGCAGATCATCTTATTAACCTGCTCAAATTAGGGCTAAATATACTTAATTTAAGCCATTTTTTACTTATTTCTGGATTGTTTTTGCAGTGTACCTGTGGTCATTAATCTCTATAACGCCTCCCTCAAGTGATTCAGCCCCCCCCATAATTGACATTTATGCACTATTTTTGCACGCCACGTATCACTTTACTTGGATTTTCACTATATTTGGATTTAGTATTTACATATGCATAGATATACCTACAGATATATATACAGAAGAGCTATATGTGTATATATTTTATGTCTTTTTATTCTTATTTTTTATCTTTATTATATTGTATAGTTGAATGTGTGTATATATTGTATAAAACTGTAACTGGAGCGTGTAACAAAAGTAATTTCCCTCTGGGATTATTAAAGTATATCTGATTCTGATAACCAGATTCAAAGCCATAACATGAGAATAAAGCCATCACATTTGAATGTCTTTTACGGAAGAGGATTAGGGCCACTGGAAAAAAAAAAAAAAGTTAACTGATTTTAAAATTTTATTTCAGTTTACATGGGAAAAAAGTCAGAATTCTGACTTTTTTCTCAGAATTGACTTTTTTTCTCAGAATTGACTTTTTTTCTCAGAATTCTGACTTTTTTTCTCAGAATTCTGACTTTAATCTCAGAATTCTGACCTTTTTTCTCAGAATTCTGACTTTAATCTCAGAATTCGGACCTTTTTTCTCAGAATTCTGACTTTAATCTCAGAATTCGGACCTTTTTTATCAGAATTCTGACTTTAATCTCAGAATTCTGACCTTTTTTCTCAGAATTCTGACTTTAATCTCAGAATTCTGACCTTTTTTCTCAGAATTCTGACTTTAATCTCAGAATTCGGACCTTTTTTCTCAGAATTCTGACTTTAATCTCAGAATTCGGACCTTTTTTCTCAGAATTCTGACTTTAATCTCAGAATTCGGACCTTTTTTCTCAGAATTCTGACTTTAATCTCAGAATTCGGACCTTTTTTCTCAGAATTCTGACTTTAATCTCAGAATTCGGACTGAATTCTGACAATAAAAAAAGTCGGAATTCTGAGAATTCTGAGAAAAAAGTCAGAATTCTGACTTTTTTCTCAGAATTGACTTTTTTTCTCAGAATTCTGACTTTTTTTCTCAGAATTCTGACTTTAATCTCAGAATTCTGACCTTTTTTCTCAGAATTCTGACTTTAATCTCAGAATTCTGACCTTTTTTCTCAGAATTCTGACTTTAATCTCAGAATTCGGACCTTTTTTCTCAGAATTCTGACTTTAATCTCAGAATTCGGACCTTTTTTCTCAGAATTCGGACTTTAATCTCAGAATTCGGACTGAATTCTGACAATAAAAAAAGTCGGAATTCTGAGAAAAAAGTCAGAATTCTGACTTTTTTCCCATGATATACTGAAATAAAATAAAAAAAATCTGTTAACTTTTTTTTTTTTTCAGTGGCCCTAATCCTCTTCCGTAGTCTTTATTCTTGTAATATTATGATTTTATTCTCATAATAATAAAAAAAAAAGGCTTAATAATATGTCCCTAATACTCTATTGCAGAGAGCAGTTGGCTGCAGTGGACCTTAATAAGGGTATTAGAACTTCTAAATACAAATGGACATTATATTTTTAAGATTTTTATTTGTAATATTTAATATTTTATTTTACCTTCTCCTTTGTGCTTCAGTGCGTTTGTCTATAATATGAAATCACAAAAAAACAAAACAATGAAGCTTGTAATTGTATAGAATTTGTTTGGGGGAGTGGCGGCCTGGGGGTTAGGGCATAGATCTTGGAATCCTGATGTTCTGAGTTTGAGCCCCACTCCCACAGGCTGCCACGGTGGCAGCCAACTACTCCCCAAGGAAAAATCTCCAATGTAAGATCAGTAAAGGTCAATTATTATTGGACTAAACCAGGAGGTTTGGATGGTTTTCTGCCGGTGGGTCATGATCCACTCCGACCTACGGCGGTGAGACCTGGTCTAGGCTGAGAAATGCCAGCCTAACATCTGCACGTCGGTACACGGCGGCTTTGTCTCATTGTGAAACAGAGAGTGAGGAAACAGGTACTACACGCAGAGGGTTTGAAACTAAAGCAGGAAGCGTGACATTAAACAAAGACAATGCCAACACAGAGAGAGACCTTCAAACACACAAAACGGCCTTTCAAGCGAAGCGTCGGCGGAGAGCTTTACAGCACTGGTGGGCATTCCAGAGTCCGCCATGAACTCCTTTTTACCTCCAACCATGTGGAAGTGGCATCAGAGGCAGCTCACTACTTCAGGAAGCGCTTACGTCACGCCTCCTCTGCCGTCTCCAAAACAATGGCGGGCGCTGAAGGACGGCAGGGTTTAAGCCCAGGCTCAAGGCCTCTCTGCTGCATGAGGTCACCTAGGTAGCCTCAGACCGGTGCCAACAACTGTGGCTTGCACATATGGCAGGTAATCAGACCAAA